TCATTGTCCTGCAGCTGAGATGAGGTTTGAATCCCTGATGTGCAGGGATGAGAATCCTTTCACAGTCTCAGATCATTGAATGTCACTGAGAGCATTAGAGTCAACGTCCCACTGTCATCAGAGAAGGGGAAGATGAAATAGTCTCACAAGCTGCTCATGGGAAACTTTCAATTTCCTAAACCCACCAACCCAATCACTGCAGCTCTCAGAAATGGAATGGAAACAAACCAGCAAACCTAGTCTCCAGCTTTGTGAATCTTCAGAACCTCATTGGGTAAGGGAATGGAGAATGAATTGCCTAACTGAGCAGAGACAAAGAAAGTTCTGTCCCCATCTTGCGCCATGAGCTGATCATTGAAATGGTTCTCATCAAAGGTGCTCTGCTTTTGCTGTTGTCATCACCAGGAACATTAAATTCTTATTCCCGCATCGGGCATCAAACCCAGCCCATGGTGATGGAAGTGCCAAATCCTAGCCACTAAACTGCCAGGGATGACAGCAAACACACTCGATTCTTTTCTTAATGACACAGCTTTCAACATTTTTTTTTAATGGAGATATGCTTTTCCTCCAACACAATCGAGTCATTGAGTTTTTACAGCACGGCAAGAGGCCCATCATCCCAGTTTCCAGCACTTGGCCCGTAGCCCTGTCTGCTCTGTGATTCTGAGTGTTCATCTCAATTAGATTTTATGGTTTTAATATCAAACAAAACAAAGAATGGGACTGAAGTTTGAGATGCTCAAACTGTGTTCATACCCCTTCAGGGAACAGAACCTCACATTCATTTGCAGAGGGAAACACACAGTCACATCCCCTGAGAGTGACCGAAGCCTCAGGACAGACCAATCCCCAGAAAGCAAGGATTTCATCCACTTGGCTTATTCTTGTTTCATTTCAGATTTTGAAACCAGCTGGCCGCTGAAACATTTGGCCGCTGCCCTGTCCATTTTATTCCCCCATTGCTTCCCCATGGGCAGCACGATGGCTCAGTAGTTAGCACTGCTGCCTCACAGTGCCAGGGACCCAGGTTTGATTCCAACCTCGGGTGACTGTCTGTGTGGAGTCTGCACATTGTCCTTGTGTCTGCGTGGGTCTTCTCCAGGTGCTCCGGTTTCCTCCCACGTCCAAAGTTGTGCAGGCTAGGTTGATTGGCCATGCTAAATTGCCTGTAGTATTCTGGGATGTGTAGATCAGGTGGGTTATACAGGGATGGGTCTGGGTGGGATGCTCTGAGGGTCGGTGTGGACTTGTTGGGCCGATGGGCCAGTTTCCATTCTGTAGGGATTCTATGAAGTTCACTGTGCAGTTTATACTACCTCACCTTGTTCTTCCTGCCAAACTAGAACATTGATCACGTCAGCTGCTTCTTCTCCATCCAAATGGTCTTCCTTGAAGGAGAAACAGGAATGTGGAATTCCAAACTCAAGCAGATCAGCCCTGGCCTGTGGAGAAAATGACATCATGCTGTTACGTCAGAAAAAAAACACACACCAACATTTAAAACACTCCTTTACTACCAGCTATAGTAGGTGCACAAAAATTCTGCAAGACCCGAACGAAAATTGAATTCAGGATCGCTAGCTTACAAGACCAATATGCTAAATACTGAGCTATGTTGTCAACATTAAAGTACACACCTTAAAATGGACAAAAATTGAGTCTAGCATGATATAATTGGATTGCAGGAGAAGTGTAATGCAATCCGAGACAAATGTAAAACTGTAATCACTTTGAAACATTTCCTGCATTAGAAATTACAATATAAAAGATGACTGGATAGCCTGTGTGTCATAAACCAAGACAATGTAACAAAACCGAGACAAGGCTCAAGGGGATTATATCCAGGGCGACAGAAAGACAGATATTCCCTGGTGGTCCAGGGATTAGGATTCAGTGCTTTCACTGCCATGGCCTATTAATGACTAACATTATCAGTAATAAATATAAAATACTAACTGATCTTTAGAAGCAGAATTATATCATGGACCATTCAGAATCGTTTCACTGAATGTTACAGTTCCATATCAGCAATGTCAGCTGCAAATGTTTAGCATGCAATCAGCTTAAAACAAGAATAGAGGGGATGCCTGCAAAAATGAAGGGCAATGGTGGTTTGTGACAGGTAACTAGACCTAGAGGAGCCAGGCTCAATTTGGGTGCTAAAGAACAGTTTTCACTATTTACCCAGTTACACAGATCAGTTCAGATCAATCACCTGCAATTATGTTCTCTTGTGTGTTGCCCTCTGCATATCTCATTGCGGTTCCATGCCCCCAGGGGATCCACATATTTTTAACTTGGTAAACTTTATGCAGGTCAGTTTTGCAGCCTCATATTAAGACTATAAATTTTAGGAGCAGAAAGTTGCTGTTCATCCCATCAGCCTCCGAAATCCCAAGGGAAATAGCCCCCGCCTATTCAGCCTCGCCCTGTAGCTCACAATTTCCAACCCTGGCAATATTGTTATAAATCTTTTCTGAATCCTTCCAAGTTTCACAACATCCTTCCTATAGCAGGCAGACCAGAATCACAGACAGTATTGCAAAAGTGGCCTAACCAATGTCCTGTACAACCGCAACATGACATTGAACAGTACAGCACAGTACAGGCCCTTTGGCCCACGATGTTGTGCTGACCTATTATCCTACTAAGATCAATCTACCCTGCATACCCTACAATATACTAATCATCCACGTGCCTATCGAAGAGTTGCTTAAATGTCTGTAATGTATCTGACTCCACTACCACTGCTGGCAGCATATTCCACAAGCCCACCACTCTCGGTGTAAAAAAACCTACCTGACATCTCCCCTATACCTTCCTCCAATCACCTTAAAATTATGCCCCCTCGTAATAGTCATTTCTACCCTGGAAAAAAGTCTCTATCTATCTACTCTACCTATACCTCTCATCATCTTGGACAGCTCTATCAAGTCACCTCTCATTCTTCTTCGCTCCAATGAAAAAACCCTAGCTCCCTCAACATTTCCTCATAAGACTTGCCCTCCAGTCCAGGCAGCATCCTGGTAAATCTCCTCTGCACCCTCTCTAAAGCTTCCACATCCTTTCCATAATGAGGCAACAAGAACTGAACACAACATTCCAAGTGTGGTCTAACCAGGGCTTAATAGAACTGCAGCATAACCTCGCGGCTCTTAAACTCAATTACCCTGCCAATGAAAGCCAACATACCATATGCCTTCTTTACAACCCTATCAACTTGGGTAGAAACTTTGAGGGATTTATGGATATGGACCCCAAGATGCCTTTGTTCCTCCACACTGCTAAGAATCCTGCCATTAACCTTGTACTTTGCATTCAAATTCGACCTTCCAAAATGAATCACTTCACACTTTTCTGGGTTGAATTGAATTCCATCTGCCACTTTTTCTGGGTTGAATTCCAGCTGCTGTCATTGTAAAGTCCAATTTCTAATGTCAGAAGGATGATTAGGGGATCTGTTTTTATTACTACCTTAAAAATGAATGACATCACAATATTTACATTAGATGACATGTGCTGATTCATCAAAAAGGGCCAGGTAACATCAAATTGGGAATAGAATTAGAGGTCATTTGTGTGAGTATAGGTATATCCAGAGACAAATAATGACTCGCAGGGCACAAAGGATCCTGTATTGTTAGGGTCACTCATGGTGACGAAGAAAGGGAAAGGAAGAGACCAAGTCAGTAGTCAAGAGAGGCAACAAACAAATATCCCCGAGTTTTGCTCACAGTCTAGATGGCAGAATATTTCTACAAATGCTTCCTCAAAAAATTTAAAAGGGAAAACATTTATGAATGATAAGCTCAATGGTGTTAACATTTTTATTGTATGCTAATGAATTTACATAAAATATTAATGTTGATTTATTAATAATCTGATGTATGTCAAATACTACAGAAAAAAGTTTAATTTTCCACCTATTTAAAGAATCAATAGCTAAATAATTCAGTAAGGCAACCACATCAGAAAAAGCTGAAAATAATCTGCAGTCAGGCAGCATTGATGCAGAAACAGAAGTCAGGTCAGATCTAAAGTCCCTTCCTTAAGGTTGCTCTGGAATTAACCAAAAGGCTGCAGTTAGCTAGGTAATATTTGCCAGGATTTTTAAAATATTTAAAAGCTGTTGAACTTGACTGACCTGCATACTTTGGGAGTTTTCTTCCATAGTTATTGTTTCCAAATCTCCCGAGGTCGCGTGTTTTCAATTTCTGTAGGAAAAGTGCCGCTCTTTTTTTGCGTTCTGCCTGTAGCTGCCTTTCCTTGCACTCTTTTGAAGCCTGTGCAAGCTTCTCCCTGCTGCTAGCCTGTCCTCCAGCTTCTGCTTTGCTTCCTTAGCCTCTACCTCCCAACTTGTATACTCAGTGCACTGACAAATAAAGGAAAGCATACCAAACGCCTTCTTCACTATCCTATTTACCTGTGACTCCACTTTCAAGGAACTGTGAACTATTCCAAGCTCTCTTGTTCCAGCAACACTCCCCAGGAGCCTACCATTAAGGGCATAAATCCTTCCCTGAATTTCCTTTCCAAAATGCAATGCCTCATAGTTAGCTAAATTAAATTCCATGTATTGTCTGTCTGAATGGGGATCCCCTGCTCTCACCATCCTCCGCCCTACACTTTTCATGCACATCGCGGTATTCCAGTATTCCTTAGGGACTCCAACTCCCACAATCCCTGACGTAGAGACCACATGTGTGCGGAATGCCCGAAAGTGCGCAGGTGCACAATGAGGCTAGGCTTCAGAGCATGTGCGAGGTGAACGAGGTGTGGACACGTTCCGCGCTGTGATTTGCCGGCAAGCTAACGCACCCTCTTTTTGTATTGGTTGACCCGCGGGGTCAAGGTGTCACCACGCACACGTGGGCCCAGGTTCCACCCCCCCCAAATCGTCATAATAGTGAGAATTGACCAATGAGAAACAACAGGGGACCGGAAGCATTCTCCTCAGCCTGAACCCCATGCCGTTTCTGCACAACAACCGTGAGCAAAATCCTCTCTTTTATCTTCCTTTCTGTTTCCCATTCTTTTTTCCGTTCTGTTGTTAAATTATTGACATGTAGCAATTGAAGGGAAGCAAGTGAACTCAGGATGGGTGCAGAGGCTATCCAGGACAGGAAGTAGTGAGTATGGATTTGTTTATCAGCACCTTCAGAAGAGTGGGGAGGGTGTATATTAGCGGCAGTAGAGTGAGCATCATGGGAGAAAGCGTGGGATGAAGGTTTACAGATTTGGGGGGACAGCGAGGAAAAAGCTATCCCAGAGAAAGTAGAATTGTGTGTTCTCAAAATCTAATTTGGTATTTGTTCCTTTTACAGGATGCTAGAAGGTAAAGATTTGCAGACCGAAATCACAAAACAAACTTCATGTGCAGATAGTGACTAAATTAACCAAGATTTGAATAACCATTGAGGGATAAATGCCCATTTGTTCTGTCTGCATCAAAGGTTTTAAATATTAATTTGCCTGGAGAAGCACTGAGACATACCCTACCACCCCCAAGTTACAGTCTTCCAGTGAACTGACTCTGAAAAAAACTTTAACATGTGACGCAGCCTGAAAAAGCATTATACCATTCACAGCAGGGAGACACCATACCTGTGCTCTGCGTGGGTAAGGCTTCAGCTGATCGTTGAACACTCAGAGACACAACAACACCCATAACATGGAGAAACCGTGGAAGTGTGAGGACTGTGGGAAGGGATTCCATTCACTGTCAACACTGGAATTTCATCGACGTGGTCACAGCAGGGAGAGGCCATTGACCTGCTCTGAATGTGGAAAGGAATTCCCTGATTCATCTGCCCTGCAAAAACATCAGCGTGCTGCCACTGGAGAGAGACCATTTGCCTGCTCTGAGTGTGGGAAGAAATTCAGGGAATATTTCACCCTGTTGAGACACCAGCGAGCTCACACTGGGGAGAACCCATCCACCTGCTCGGAGTGTGGAAAGGTGTTCACTCAATTGTCCAGCTTGCGTGCACACCAGCGAGTTCACACTGGGGAGAGGCCATTTAGCTGCTCTAATTGTGGAAAGGAATTCACTCAGTCATCACATCTGAGGAAACATGAGCAAATTCACACTGGGGAGAGACCATTTAAATGCTCCAACTGTGGGAAACGATTCAGACATTCATCTGGCCTCCAGGTACACCAGCGAGTGCATACTGGGGAGAGGCCATTTATCTGTTCTGAGTGTGGGAAAGGATTCACTCAGTCATCACATCTACAGAAACACAAGCAAATTCACAAGTGAATACAAGAGTTGGAACAACTCTTAATTAGCAACAACATCCGTGCTGTTGGACAGTAGTTATGAGACCGTCACCTGCAAACACCCCTCCGTGTCACACACCATGCTTACTTGGAACAATATTCCTTCACTGTCACTGGCTCAAAATCCTGGAACTTCTCCCTTACAGCATTGTGAGTGTCCCTACACCACAAGGACTGCATTTCCAGAAGGCAACTCACTCCCACCTTCTCGAGGAGGACAATTCGGAATGGGAAATAAATTCTGACATAGACATTGATACTATATCCCATGAACAGATTTAAAAATGAGGGAAAATCACATCCAAGTCTGAGCCATGTTCATTTGGACAGTGGGTTTCTTTCTGCTGCACTGGCCGTCTCACCACTTTGCTTCCAGTGAGGCTGATGCTTTTGAGCCTGGGAGTGCACATTACTACTTTAACGATCCCCAAAAGTTGATGAAGGATATTTATCCTGGACAGGCGATAATTTTGTTTTTTCCCAGTATAAAATCTGACTTAAACACATGAGTCTGCAGCACAGGCCAGGCCAGTCGACTCAGTTAAGCTCTGTCAGAGTTTAGGCTCCACATGTGTCTTCACCCTCCCCTTTTCATCTTCCCCATCAGCAGATCCTTGTATTCCATTCTCCTATGTAAATGTGTCCAGCTGCTACCCTGCTCCTTCTCAGGGGTGGAGGCTGAGTGCTTGGAAGATTTGACAAAGTTGTGGTCAATATATAGGTACGTAAAATCCCTCTCCTTCAGTCCCTGCCTTTCATTCTATCTTTGCACAGAAGCCAGTCTTTTTTGAGATTCTCTCCCACTCTTTTGTTTTTGTTTTTTTTTTGTTTGTCATTAGTTTCACAGGATATTAGAAGGGAGAGATTTATAATCTAAACATTACACCTTGATCTGATGGAGTTCCCAATTTATCATAAACAGAATGTCATCAGATTTTGAACATAGATGGAAAAAGTCCCGTTCACAGTGGAGAGAAAGTGTGCACGTGTTGTGTGTGTGGAGAAGGCTTCAGCCAATCATTGGACCTCACAAACCATGTATGCAGTCACACTGGGGAGAACCTGTGGAAACGTGGGGATATTGGAAGAAATTCATTTCCCCATCTGAGCTGGAAACTCATCAACACAGTCACACCAGTAACTGGCCATTCACCTGCTGAGTATGTGGGAAGGGATTCACTCAGTCATCTAACCTGCTGCAACACACTGCTCAGTCACACTGAGGAGAGACTGTTTCAATGACTGAACTGCAGGAACTGCTGCAAAAATTACAGGGCGCTGTTGTGCCATCATGTATTCATACTACGGACAGACCTTTTTGAATATCCAAACTGTGGAAAATGCTATATAACATCCAGGGGCCTGGAGTCCCACCCACGGATGAGAGACCTTTTAAATGCTCAAACTGTGGAAAATGCTTCAAAACGTCTGCGGACCTGTTGTCTTATCAGCTTTCTCACATTAATGAGAGACCTCTTAAATTCCCAGACTGTGTGAAATGCTATGAAATGACCAGGACCTGATGTTCAGTCTGAGGAGAGACCATTCAGTGGCTCACTCTGTAGGACTCGGTTCAGGCAATTATCTGACCTTGTGGAGCACCAGCAGGTTCACACTGGGAAGGAACTGTTCACTTGTGCCGAGTGTGGGAGAGGATTCACTCAATCATCCAACCTGAGATACCATCAAGTTCACACTGCGCAGAGGATTTTAAATGCCCAGACTTCAGGAAGTGCTACACACTCTTCTGAGAACTGACTTATCATCAATGTGTTTACACTGAGGAGACAACCTTTAAATGTGAGAATCACAATTCAAGTTCCTGGGACCTGTTTATTATCAATGTATTCACATTGGGTAGAGACCTTTCAAATATCTAGTTTGTGGGAAGCACTATCGAAGTTCTGTGGAACTGACGTCCCATCAACATGTTCACATAACAGGAGACCTTTCAGGTGCTTTCACTGTGGGACTGGGTTCAGGCGATCATCTCCATTCTCAGGACACTGAGTTCACACTGGGAAGAAACCATTCACTTGTGCCGTGTTTTTAAAAAAAAAGTCAGCTCTTTCATCCACCCTGCTGAGACAGCAGAGAGATCACACATCTCAACAGTGATTAGACTTTGCTTTCAGTTTCTGAATGTAATTAACGGCAAAGTTTTAATTTTCAGGATAAAAGTCAAATAAATCCGCTTTATGTTAAACGCAGTGTAGCAGGTCATTGTGATACTTTGATTACAAGTTAGGTCCTTTTATAGGTTTCTCCCTCTCCTGCATCTACCCCTTGAACAGCAATTCAGCGTCCACCGGGCCATACATCCACTAAGGCTTTCCTATCCCAGCCCTGACATGGTTCTCCACTTTCCCTCCTGTCATGCCCTGTTAGAACTCATGTCCATCAGATCCACCTCTTTATCTCTTGACTCTGCTCCCATAAAACTACTGACCATCCGATTGCCCCATGTTCCTCATATTGATAATTCTCCCTCTTTCTCTGGGCCTGTCCCTTCACCTATCAATCCACCATCATCCAAGCTATAAAAAGAAACCCTTTGCACCACCATCCTTGTAATGAGGCTGTTTGGCACAACATGACTGCACTGACTCTCTGAGCACTTTTCCTTATTGCCAATCGGGGCGGCGATGGCCTAGTGGTATCATTGCTGGAATGTTAATCCAGAGACCCAGACAATATTCTGGGGACCTGGGTTCAAATCCCGCCATGCCAGATGGTGAAATTTGAATTCAATAAAATATCTGGAATTAAGAGTCTAATGATGACCGTGAATCCATTGCCTATTGTCGGGAAAACCCATCTGGTTCACTAATGTCCTTTAGGGAAGGAAACTGTCATCCTTACCTGGTCTGGTCCACATATGACCCCAGACTGACAGCAATGTGATTGACTCTGAACTGCCCTCTGGGCAATAAATGCTGCCTAGCCAGCAAAGCCCTCAACCCATTAATGATTAAAGAAATTGTTAAATTGTTTGTATTGAATTAATTATCATTGCCCTCCAGAATGTTTCACTTCAAACGTTTGTGACATCTGTTACGTGGCTTCCTGTCAAAGGTCACAGAAATAGGTCTGAGGAGGAAAAGATGCAACAGGAGGGTTTTTTTTTTGTCCATTTCAGTTTATATTCTACAAGGAGAGGTCATAATGAATTCCCAGCTTTCACCTCATGAAACGTCTCCAGATGGTTTCCAAACACTGTGCAGCACCAAGACACATTCGTGAAGGTAAGAAACATCTCAGCCAGAGTCTGGACCTCAGGAACTGTCCTAAAGGAGGAAGGCATGGATTTCCTGTTCCAGTGAAACAGCAACGGTTATTGGCACAGAGCGAGCCTGTTATTTCTGTTCCACCACAATACATCTGGTGGAAATTTCCATATAGAGTCATAAACACAAAAATCAAATGGTGAAAGCAGAGGCAATCGGACCGGTTCCGAAAACTTGGAGCAGTTTTCCTGGTGGTGGTAGTGATTCAGATTTTCGAAGCCTTTCCCATTTGGAAAATAGTCTATGCCTCATTTCTTCCCGCCAAAGCACACGACCTCACAGTCGCGCATATTGTATTCCATCTGCCACTTCTTTGTCCATTCATCTGGCCTATCCAAGTTCTTCTGCAGCTTCTTGCTTCCTCAACACTACCTATCTCTCCAGCTACCGTTATGTCATTTGAAAACCAAGCTACAATGCCCTCAGTTCCCTTGTCAAGTTCATTATTGTATATTGTGCAAAGCTGTGGCCCCAACACTGACCACTGCGGAACTGCACTAGACACCGACTGCTGTACTGAAAAAGATTCCATCATACTCAGACTTCTGCCAATCACCCAATCCTTTGTTCATGCCAGACCTTGCCCCTAACACCATGAGATTTTATATTCTTTAGCCACATGAACTGCTTAAATACTCTCCTATTTTGTGTGTCTCTAAAATTCAGCCCTTCTTATTTTTGGAGAACAAATTCACATGATCAGAGACAGTGTGTTGACTAATGACAAAGAAGTTGTTCTCACTTTGAGGTCAGCAAGCTTGGTTCACATCCAGTTTTTACACAGGATCACGTGTCACAGAGACAAACAGCACAGCAATCACCCTTTGTTCCAACTCGTCCATGCCAACAAAGTTTCCCAAACCAGACTAGTCTCACTTGTCTGCGTTTGGCCCGTATCACTGACTAAAATCAGGAAAGATGAGGAACATAATCAGTACGGCTCAAATCTGCGAGGGGACAACCAATAGGTTTCAAATCCATCACCTTCATCACTGGGCCATGACTACAGGATGCACAACATTGTCAATATAGCAGTTCTGCGCCCCCCCACCCCCCAAACTCAGGGACCTTCTCATTCTCCACAATGTGTGATCTCTAGTTTTCACAGATCCAAATGCTCTGTGTTCCTGTGTGTGATATCATCATGTGATGACAATTGCACTGAGCCTCACTGTAATGGTGATAGAAGTCAGGCAGAAACCTTTTAATATTTAAGATGTATTTAGAAGCATAATTACAAAAACAGACAAGGCTACAGGCCAAGTGCTGGAAAATAGAATGGGAATAGTTAGGTGGTTGTTTATACCCAGCACAAACACAATGGCCGCAGAGCCTTTTTCTGTACCATATACCTCCAAGGCACTTAATATAGGGATATAATAAGCATATTTGAAACCAGTGCAGAAAAGGAGTTATTCGAGTAGATAACTCATCATTGGGCAATACTTTTAGGAGGGAAGTGAGGTGGAGAAGCAGAGTGGTTAAGATGGAAATTCTGAAGCTTGGGGCACAGGAATTTGAAAGTGCCTTCAAGTCGAGAAATAAAAATGGGTTATCCTCAGGCTGGAATTAGAGGAAAGCATAAATCCCAGAGATTCATGAAGCTGGAGTAGTTGAGAAATAGGGAGGATTGTATGGCTGGAGGAGATTAAAGAGCTATGGAGGATTGTGAGACTAAAGGTGTCATGATTGGAATGAGGTCAGCCAGGTGGATTTCAGAGTATGAGTTCCCTGATTAGGTCCAATCAGACGTGTCAGTGAGCTAGCTGGATCAGTGTCTTGTATTACAAACGTGTAAATAAATGATGACTTGGTGACGGAATACCAGCCTCTGTGGAGTTATTTTTAGGTAATTATAGAGATGGGGAGGATTGTGAAGCTGTGGGAATACAGAGATAGGGAGGTTTATGAGGCCGGAGGGGATTATTGTCTAAACCGCACTGTGGTGTACTAACAACACATGCACGGCAGCAGTTCAAGAAGGCTTTTCACAACCTCTTTCTACAGATCAAATAAAAATGGACACTAAATACTGTTCTGGACATGAAAGACCATATCCCATGAATAAATCATAATTAAGATCGATTTCTATTTTGTGGAGCGGTAGCAGTTGTCACAATTATAACCATAGAATACAACATTCAGATAATTAGCAAATAATGCAGGATGAAAATGTGAAGATTAATTTACTCAGCACTTTCTGAGCATCTGGAACAGTCTGAACATCAGCTGGATGCAGATTCAGCAGTTATTCTCAAAGGTGGTTTAGAATTAGAATTAGATTTATTGTCACATGTACTCAAGTGCAGAAATACGAGTACAATGAAAAGTATACAAAGCTGCCATTCTCTGGCACCAGAGATAGCAGGAACTGCAGATGCTGGAGAATCTGAGATAACAAGGGCTAGAGCTGGATGAACACAGCAGGCTAAGCAGCATCAGAGGAGCAGGAAGGCTGACGTTTCGGGCCGAGACCCTTCTTCAGAAATGGGGGAGGGGGAGGTGGTTCTGAAATATATAGGGAGAGAGGGGGAGGCGGATAGAAGATGCATCGAGGAGAAGATAGGTGGAGAGGAGACAAGACAGGTCAAAGAGGCAGGGATGGAGCCAGTAAAGGTGAGTGTAGGTGGGGAGTTAGGGAGGAGATAGGTCATTCCAGGGAGGATGGACAGGTCAAGGGGGCGGGAAGAGGTTAGTAGGTAGGAGATGGGGGTGGGGCTTGAGGTGGAAGGAGGGATAGGTGGGAGGAAGGACAGGTTAGAGAGGTGGGGGCAAGCTGGGCTGGTTTTGGGATGCGGTAGGGGGAGGGGAGATATTGAAGCTTGTGAAGTCCACATTGATACCATTGGGCTGCAGGGTTCCCAAGCGGAATATGAGGTGCTGTTCCTGAACCTTTGGGTGGCATCATTGTGGCACTGCAGGAGGACATGTCATCTGAGGAATGGGAGGGGGAGTTGAAATGGTTCGCGACTGGGAGGTGCAGTTGTTTAGTGCGAACCAAGCGTATGTGTTCTGCAAAGCGGTTCCCAAGCCTCTGCTTGGTTTCCCCGATATAGAGGAGGCCACAACGGGAACAGCGGATACAGTATACCACATTAGCAGATGTACAGGTGAACATCTGCTTCATGTGGAAAGTCTTCTTGGGGCCTGTGATGGGGGTGAGGGGGTAGGTGCAGGGGCAGGTGTAGCACTTCCTGCGATTGCAGGGAAAAGTGCCGGGTGTGGTGGGGTTGGAGGGGAGTGTGGAGCGGACAAGGGAGTCCCGGAGAGAGTGGTCCCTCTAGAAAGCAGATAAGGGTGGGGAGGGAAAAATGTCTTTGGTGGTGGGGTCGGATTGCAGATGGCGGAAGTGTCGGAGGATGATGCATTGGATCCAGAGGTTGGTGAGGTGGTACGTGAGGACGAGGGGGATTCTGTTTTGGTTGTTATTGCGGGGAGGGGATGTGAGGGATGAGTTGCGGGAAATGCGGGAGACACAGTCGAGGGCGTTCTCGACCACTGAGAGGGGGAAGTTGCGGTCCTTGAAAAACGAGGACATCTGAGATGTACGGGAGTGGAATGCCTCATCCTGGGAGCAGATGCGGCGGAGGCGAAGGAATTGGGAATAGGGGATGGCATTTTTGCAGGAAGGTGGGTGGGAGGTGGTGTATTCTAGGTAGCTGTGGGAGTCGGTGGGCTTGAAATGGATATCGGTTTCCAGGTGGTTGCCAGAGATGAAAACAGAGAGGTCCAGGAAGGAGAGAGAGGTACCTGAGATGGTCCAGGTGAACTTAAGGTTGGGGTGGAAAGTGTTGGTGAAGTGGATGAACTGTTCGAGCTCCTCGTGGGAGCACGAGGCGGCGCCGATACAGTCATCAATGTAGCGGAGGAAGAGGTGCCGTTTAGGGACAGTGTAGCTGGGGAAGAGGGATTGTTCCACGTAACCTACAAAGAGGCAGGCACAGCTTGGGCCCATGCGGGTACCCATGGCCACCCCCTTTGTCTGTAGGAAGTGGGAGGAATTGAAAGAGAAGTTGTTGATGGTGAAGATGAGTTCGGCTAAGCGGATGAGGGTGTCAGTGGAGGGGGACTGGTCGGGCCTGTGGGACAGGAAGAAGCGGAGGGCCTTCAGGCCATCTGCATGGGGAATGCAGGTGTATAGGGACTGGACGTTCATGGTAAAGATGAGGTGTTGGGGACCGGGGAATCGGAAGTTTTAGAGGAGGTGGAGGGTGTGGGCGTTGTCACGGACATAGGTGGGGAGTTGCTGGACCAAGGGGGAGAAAATGGACTAGAGATAAGTTCGTGGGGCAGGAGCAGGCGGAGAGAATGGGTCGACCAGGGCAGTCGGTTTGTGGATTTTGGGAAGGAGATGGAAGCGTGCGGTGCGGGGTTGGGGAATGATGAGGTTGGAGGCTGTGGGTGGGAGGTCACCTGAAGTGATGAGGTTGTGGATGGTTTGGGAGATGATGTTTCGGTGGTCGGGGGTGGGGTCATGATCAAGGGGGCGGTAGGAGGAGGTGTCAGAGAGCTGGCGTCTGGCCTCGGCGATGTAGAGGTCAGTGCGTCATACTATAACTGCGCCTCCCTTGTCCACGGGTTTTATAGTGAGGTTGGGTTTGGAGCGGAGGGCTGCACGTTCTGTGGGATTGATGAGAGACATCAATCGCCTCAACCTCTCCACCCTTCTCACCCACTCCAACCTCTCCCCCACAGAACATGCAGCCCTCCCTGGACTGACCTATCCCCTCCCTAACTCCCCACCTATGCTCACCTTTATTGGGTCCATCCCCGCCTCTTTGACTTGTCTGTCTCCTCTCCACCTATCTTCTCCTTTATCCATCTTCTATCCACCTCTCCCTATTTCAGAACCTCCTTCTCCTCCCCTCTTTCTGAAGAAGGATCTAGGCCCGAAACGTCAGCCTTCCTGCTCCTCTAATGCTGCTTGGCCGGCTGTGTTCATCCAGCTCTACACCTTGTTATCTCAGTTCCAGGGTGAAGCTCGTTGGACAAGTTCAGCGTTGTGACATCTTACATTGACGGGTGGGCTTTTCCAGACGCAGCCAATAAGAATCGCTGAGCTCGTCGGTGATGCCCCCAGGTTCCAGGCTGCAGTCCAGGGACGCGGAACCCTGCCCCCACACATTGTTCCCTCTCTCCAGATCCACCTCAGGCACTGGGGGAGGGGAGGGCACTTTGCAAAATCTCTTGCCTTCATTTTCCTCCTCTCCCTGAAGGATTGGGGGAGGGGAGAACAGTTTAGAAAACCTCTTCCACTTTCTGCCAGGTTATCCAATAACACAGAGCTTGTGTATTTTCTTGAGAAAGAAGAAGCAGACCAAGAGCGGAAGGAGTCTTATAATGAATCAGAAGGTGAATATGAGATAACACAGTGTGGAGCTGGAGATCTTCAGAAAGGGTCCCTACCCGAAACGTCAACTTTCCTCCTCCTCTGATGCTGCCTGGCCTGTTCCTCCAGCTCCACACTGTGTTATCTCTGACTCCAGCGTCTGCAGTTCTTGCTATCTCTGAAGGTGAATATGATCCGCCCCTGACTGTTTGCGTGTTTCAGGTTTGTCTGTGGGGAAAGATATGGAGCATGTGGAAATGAAGAGGGGAAGAGCATGGAGGACTTTGAAAACAAAGATGGGAATTTTAAAATTGAGGTGTTGCTGAGCAGGGGGCCTTAAATTTCTCTGTATGTTTATTCATGCAATGTGGGCAGTGCTGCTTGGGTCAGCATTAGATTGGCCATCTCAGATGCTCTGTGGAAGGTGGTGCCATGGACCATGTCTGCAATCTTTGACTACCCAGTACAGAGGTGTGTGGGCAAGTCAGAGGATCTTCTCTTGGAGTTGCAATGTGTTATTGAATTGAATAATTTATTTTCACATGTATTCAATTAAAAATACAGTGAAAAGTGTGTACCTTCACCGTGCATACATGGCACCATTTACATTAACTTAGAATAAGACAAGAATAAAAAGGATAACTTGAGAGTCCAACTTTCCTCTCCATCACCGCAGTTCCGCTCTGGGCCTTCCAGCCCTCGCCATACCTCTGCCAGAGTCCATCTCTGGGCTGCCTAATTGGCCCAATCTCGCCGCCACTGTCTCACCAGCCCACTCTTGATCTGCTGCTATTGCTCCTGCCCATGCTCAATCCGCAGTTGCTGCAGGACACGTTGCTCATGTTTAGCTCACGCCATGTGGTTCCTGGTCGTAATCCAGCTCCTTCCCAATTCCTTCAGTAGGTAGTTAAAAGAGATGGGGGGTGTAGAATTATGATAGAAGGAGAGAAAAGGGAGCCAAAAAAAGGAAGGACAAGGAAAGAAAGAAAAAGAGAACGGCCGAGCAGAATGGAGTTCCGAATGGAGCAACTTACCCTGCTACCGTTTGGAGCACCTAGTTTTGAATAGCCTTGGGGCTCACTCTTGCAGCCAACCTCTTTTCTGTGGTCTTGTCTGTGCCTGAGAGAGACCATGCAGTGTCCACTGGCAGGATTGGTACCTTCCATGACCGTTGGGCACTGCAGAGCAAAGACTCTGGGGATAACTTCATGGGTTAGTTGGAAAAGTTCCTATTACTTTTGTTAGGTATTTGTTGCAGATTTTGGCTTCTTTGAATTTGATTGAAACACATTTGGGAAATTTAGAGGGGGAAGAATTTTCCACAGAAACTAGAATAGTGTGTTTTTAACATGTATCCTGGACTGATAGTGAGACTGATACTGAGAATTCCTTTTGCAAGATGTAGAATGAGATCTCAATTTGGATGGCATTGATTGGTAGATGGGAATCTCAAACCAAACATCAAGTCAAGATCTGACAGGGTCATGAGATTCATCAGAACCTGAATACCATCAGCCTTTGAATGTGGATAGAAAAATTTTTCTCTGTTGTGTCTGTGGGAAACGATTTCAAACATCCGTGTATCTGCAAAAGCACAATCCTGAGAGACAGTATTCCAATGAACTGACTCTTGGAAAAAACAGTTACAACATCCCACAATTCACATGGTCTGTGTGGAGAAGGCTTTAACCAGTCATCCAATCTGGAGAGACAGAGGACATTGACATCATGGAGAAATGTGCAAAGTGGGAGTTACACAAAGAACTGAGCCTTGAAACACAGCCAGACTCATGCTGTGAGGTGAAGAGTTACAGTTTATTCATCCAGAGATGAGGAGGGAACAGTGATATGTGTCCAACAACAAGTTGTATCTATCATGATGCCTTTTAAATATTGGATTGTTCCAAGATACTGAGGGGTGTTACAAAGTTGTACAACAAGATATTAGGGCAGAAACCAAGTTTTGACCTCTTTTGGTCAAAGAGGTAGATTTTTAACACGCATCCTGAAGGAGGAAAATGAAGTTGAGGGGCAGAAAGCGTTAGCAAGGAATGTCCATAGCTTCTGGCTTGTCAGCTGAAAGCATGGTGGACCGATTTAAAATCAGGGCTGTCTGTGACCCGAAATTAGAGAGGAGCAGAGATCGTGCAGCATTGTGAGGTGGGGCAGGGGGAGATAGTTGGAAGCTCATCTTGGAGTAAAATACCATGCCCTGCTTGTGTAGAAACTCAGACAGTTGCCTAGGGGGAGAGGGATGGAGTTGGCAGCAAGGGAGTGGAGATCGTGATGGAACTGAAGACCATGGCACCGGTCTTCCTTAGTATTTGATTAGAGGAAATTTCTGTTCATCCAGTTCTGATGTCCAAAATATGGGGACAGTATGTGAGATGGAGGGAACCTGGAAGTAATGATGTTCACATCCAGCTGCTCCTCTAGTCCTTCCAGGAGGTGGGACATGACGGTCTGGGAGATTTTCTCAAAGCCTTGGCTGTGTTCTGGAGATGTAAAGTCCCTCTCTATTGCTCCCTGTTTTCCCTACCTCCATCTCTCCCTCTCCCTCTCTCTCTCTCGTTGGGTTTTTACAACAGTCTGGTAGCTTTCATGGTCACCTTCTTTTCCCAATGGCCCCAAATGTCCAGATTCATTCAGATCAATTTCATAACTTTCCTTTTGCGTTTTTGTGGATTCTCTCAAATAGGAGAGAAGCTGGAGCAGGTTTCAAAGAAAGAGAAAATTGGAGTGAGTTTGTCCGATGGGCTAGTGGTGGGTGAGGAAGAAATAGAGGCAGCTGATCAGATTGTCTCAATCTTAGTGATAAGTTGATGAAGAGAAGGAGACAGGGAGACCTCTTCAAAGTGAAGTGTAAAGAATGTTAAAATAGGCAGACTCTGTGTTGAACACAAAACTGATTTATCTGACTATTTTGCCAAATATTAGCACTTGTGACTGAGCTAAACATCAGCAGAAATTGACCCTGATGAACATAGCTCCATTCTAGTTGTGGTTAACAGCAAAATCCAGTCCCCGCTGCAGTCACTTGTGAAGTCGCTGGTGCCGAAGCAGGTGAGCTGACTGAGTGAATCTCTTCTCACACACTGAGCAGGTAAATGGCCTCTCCCCATTGTGAACTCGCTGATGTATCAGCAGATTGGATTTGGTTGTGAATCCCTTCCCACACTCAGAGCAGGGGAATGGTCTTTCTCCAGTGTGAATTCGCTTGTGTACACTGAGGTCAGATGATCGCCTGAACCCAGTCCCACAGCGAGAGCACTTGAACGGTCTATCGTCAGTGTGAATACGTTGATGACGCATCAGATCTCCAGAACTTTTAAAGCATTTCCCACAAACTGGACATTTAAAAGGTCTCTCGTCAGTGTGGACATGTTGATGAGACAACAGAGCCTTGGAACTTTTATAGCACTGCCCACAGTCTGGGCATTTGAAAGGTCTGTCCTCAGTGTGTACTCGCTGGTGTGCCATGAGGTGAGATGACTGAGTGAATCCCTTCCCACACACTGAGCAGGTGAATGGCCTTTCTCCAGTGTGAACTCGCTGGTGCGTCATGAGGTAAAATGACCGAGAGAACCCCTTCCCACACTCCGTACAAGTGAATGGCCTCTCCCCAGTATGCATTCGCTGGTGTACACGGAGGTCAGATGACCATCTGAATCCAGTCCCACAGTGACAGCACCTGAACGGTCTCTCTTCAGAGTGAACACGTTGATGGGACATCAGCTCGGTGGAACCTATATGGCCCTTCCCACAGTCTGGGCATTTGAAAGGCCTCTCCTCAGTGTGAACCCGCTGGTGTTTCAACAGGCTGGATGTCCGAGTAAATCCCTTCCCACACTCTGTGCAGGTGAATGGCCTCTCCCCAGTATGAACTCTCTGGTGTGCACGGAGATCATATGGTCGGCTGAACCCAGTCCCACAGTGAGAGCACTTGAACTGTCTCTCCTCAGTATGAACACTTTGATGACGTACCAGTTCCCCGGAACTTTTAAAACACTTCCCACAAACTGAACATTTAAAGGGTCTCTCGTCAGTGTGAACACGTAGGTGGGACATCAGTTCGCTGGAACGTTTGTAGCAGTTCCCACAATCTTGGCATTTGAAAGGGTCAGTGTGAACGCGCTGGTGTGTCAGCAGCATGGACGATTGAGTGAATACCTTCCCACATATGGAACAGATAAATGGCCATTTCTCAGTGTGACCACGTTGGTGAATTTCCGGATCAGAAATGTAACTGAATGCCTCCTTGCAGTCCCCACTTTTCCGCAGTTTCTCCCCAACGTGACTGCACTTGTGTTTCAACAGGCCAGATGACTGTCTGAATCCTTGTCCACACACAGAACTCATGTACGGTTTCTCTCTACTGTGAACAGTGCTTTCTCCTTCCATGTTCAATATCCGAGGATTTTCAGGTTGTGATAAATTGGGCGACTCCAACAGATCCTGGTGTGATCCTGTTCTGAAGATGAGTCACAACAAACCTGAAATGTTCATACGGTTTATCTCTCTGGAGATGCAACCAGACCCTCCCCAGCATTTTTCATTTCTGTTACAGTTTTCCAAATCTGCTGTACTTTGCTTTAATCGTTATAGGGTGTTCGCATTGGATTCCAAACTTCAAATCTTCTCTTTCTGTGAAATGGATTTAAAATAGAAAAAAGAAGAGATTAGGAAAGAAGCCACAAAAACAAAGGCAGATTGTGTGAAATTTGAGCTGAATGACTTTAGAACTTCATCCATTCTTTTGTTAGCTCAAAACTTAACTACCCTCAGGCACTCTCAGCCATCCCATTTCCCTATAACCTTGAGGTTTTCTAATATTCTACTGTCTCTGCACTCACATCAAGTCTTAATCTGCTACCATTCCTGTAATGATTGTAAGGACGTCAGCCCACTGAGTTCTCTGATTGGACCAGATTAACAGCTCCAATCAGGGAGTCCTGGCTGATATAAAAAGGTTGAGTGACAGAGGTACTGACACTCTGGTGTGTGACTCTGTGTGAGGCAGTACTGTAATCAAGGATGGTCCGAATAAAGGGTGACTTGAGGACAGGATACCACCCTCTCTAATGGCCTGTTCGCTGAGCTACAGAGGCTATTTAAATTATTGTTTCCAGTAGTTTCCCATCAGTCAAGTAAAACTGACTGGCCTGTTGTTGCTGGTCTTCTTTTGACAAGCATTTTGGAACAAGTGTAACATTTGCAATTCTGCAGCTTCTGGCACCACTGCTGGATCTAAAGAAGCTTAAGTCATTACAGCAATGCCTCTACGATTTCCACTTTCACTTCCCTTAGCATTCTTGGATGTATCTCATCTAGACCTGGTGGGTTATCAATATTGAGTACAGACAGCATATGTAATAGGTCTGGTTGAGATACATCCAAGGATACTAAGGGAAGTGAAAGTGGAATTTAAACCCTTCAAGTAAAAACCGAAAGAAGTGCAGATGCTGTAAATCAGGAACAAAAACAGAAGTTGCTGGAAGCTCAGCAGGTCTGGCAGCAACCGTGAAGAAAAAATCAGAGTTAACGTTTCAGGTCTGGAACTTGAGTTCTGAAGAAGGGCCACCGGACTCGAAATGTTGACTCTGATTTTTTCGTCACAGATGCTGCCAGACCTGCTGAGCTTCCAACAACTTCTGTGTTTGTTCCTGTTTTTAAACCTTCAAGCACCTAATCTACCTATTCTTTTACCATGACCTGAGTAGAATTTTCTTCATAAGGAATGACAGATCCAAAGTACTTATTTAATATTTCAACTGTGACTCAGCAAGCATATGTAAATCTCATTTTTTTGGTCGCTAATGAGCCCTATTCTATATTTACCTTGCCATTTCAATTTGAATACCTAAACAAGACGTTTAGGATTTCCCAATGTGTTGACTACCAGTCTCTTTTCTAAACCCCTTTTTACTTCTCTTATTTGCTTTTTCACCTTTCCTCTGAACCTTCTGTATTCTGCCTGGTTCTAAATGTTATTTTCTATCTAATATCAATTGTAGGCGTAATTTTCCTCCTTCACCTTCATTTCATAAGAACAAGAGTTATACAAGCAGAAGTAGGCATTCAGCCCTTCAAGTCTCCTCCACTATTCAGTGAGATCCTGGTTTATCTGATAATCCTCAGCTTCACTTGCATACCTTAATCTCCGTTACTGATTACAAATCTGATTAATTGATCATTGTGCCTTAAACGTTCTCCACTCACACTTGACCCACTTGATTGCCAGGCACCAGGCCTAGCACTGCCTCCTTTCTCTTTGAGAGTGAATAGGCATTGCTGTTTAAAAGCTTCCTGAACACACTCTTGTAACTCTTGCCCTGCACTGTCCTTTACATAACGGCATTCTAGTCGAAAAGCAAAATATTGTGGATGCTTAAAAGCTGACACAAATACAGAGAATGCTGGAGAAACTCATCTCATTGGAACTCATGTGGAAATAAATCTGTGTTTAGAGTACATACCGTCGAGTATGGTTTGGTTCCACATTTTAATGACTGCTATTCTCGCGTCACACCCATCATCACAAAACAAATCGTACACACCAGTGGCGAGATGTTTACCCACAATGCCCCACGGTGAAGAATGACCCCTATCCAGGGCACAGGAGAACGGTACGCAGGCGCAGTTCGCCTCAACCGTATTCCAAGCATGCGCAATGACCGTGATGACAATGGGTCGAGAAGCTTTGTTTCACTCATCTGCAGAGGGTGAGGATGCGGGAACGCGGAAGGACCACTGGAGCCGGCAGGGGAACGAAGGTAGTTTATAAACACTTACTAAATACTTCGAACCCCGATTAATCACCTGCAATTGCCCCATTTGTGTTCTTGGCCCATTACCCGGGAACAGCTCCAGATAACCGGCAGCCATCTTGGATCCGCTGGGATTAGGGCGCATGCGTGTACACTTGGCGTCGTCCTGGAGTGGGCGGGGTTTTAAGTGTTCTGTTTTACCTAACCGGGTCCTAGTGCCTCTTAATCAAAAACCCGAACATGGGACCATGTATATATTCACTGTGACAGAAGAGTCAGCTGCTCAACATTTGGTAACATTTCAGTTCCGTTCTCCTGTCTTTGACCGGTGCACTGTGGAGTCCATAGGGAACTCGGAGTATCTTCCTTCGGTTAAAACTAATTTGTGGGACTGGAATGGACAGCGTGTTTGCAAAGGGTCACTGTGACTCAACGTTAGATATACGAACGTGGGTAAGCCAATTGGCCATGAAGCCTGCTCCGCCATTCAACAAGATCGTGGCTCACCTGATTGAGGTTTAATTTCATTTTTCTGCCAGTTTTTGCTTCTCCTCTGTCATTATTTCTGTGCCTGGTTGTCTCTGAAGAGGAACTATGCAGTGACCAGCAGCAAACTTGATACCTAAACAACCAGTGGACACCTCCGAGTACATAGTGTCTCAGGGAGACTGAGGAACACATTCTGATTTCGTTAGAAAAGTTCCCATTTTACATTCCCTTTCTTGGACTTTGTTGCTAATCTTGGATTGTTTTATTTTGTTTGGATTACGTATTGAGTGAATAAAAAAGTAAGGAAGGAGTCCCTTCAGGTAGCTATACAGAGGCTACAACCTCTCTAATTGAATGCATGTATAAAACCCATGAAACAAAAACAGAATTTGTTAGGAAAGCTCAGCAAGTCTGGCAGCATCTGTGAAGAAAAAATCAGAGTTAACGTTTCGGGCCTGGTGACCCTTCCTCAGAAAGCCCATGGACTGGTCTCAGCAGCAAATATCCCCTCCCCAGTGCTTTCTTTCTTCCCAATGATGTCAGAGTCTTGTGATTGTTCTGTCTGGGTGACAGGTTCCCATCCCTGGTGAATACGAGTGAACCAAGCAGTGATTTAATGACAATTTGGCAGCTTTAATGGTCACTATTCCCTACTGCCAGTCCCACAAGTTAACTGATCTATTCATCTTGATTTCACAAGCTGCCTTTGTTTTTGTGCATTATCTTACACTCTGTCATTTTTTGTTTTAGATCAATTCCACAGTGTTTTGGAATTTGAGGATATGCAGTCGAGATATATACCAAACATCACGCCAGGATCAGACAGAGTTGCTTAATTTAATGAAAGCTGAAAATTATTGGATTTTGAGTATGGAAGGTGGATGTACCATTCACGGTGAAGAGAAACTATGCACAGGTTCTGTGTGTGGATGAGGCTTCAAACGATTATCTGACTTTTTCAAAGTAAAGCAATGCCACACTTACAAGAAACCGTGGATAGGTGGAAACTATGGGAAGGCTTTCAAATACCCATCCAAGCTGCGAACACATCAGCGCAGTCACACGAGGGAGAAACCATTCATCAGCTCTGTGTGTGAGAAGGCATTCTTGAAGTCCTCCCACCTGCTCGCTCACCAGTGGCTTCACATTGGAAAGGGCATGTTCCCCTGCTCTGAGTGTGGCAAGGAATTCATTCGATCATCCCACCTGCTGACACACCAGTGGGTCCACACTGGAGAGAGACTGTTCACCTGCTTGGAGTGTGGGAAAGATTTGTCCTGGTTATCCAGCCTGTTGAAATATAGCAGGTCCACTCTGAGGAGATACCCTTTAAATGTGCAGATTGTGGGAAGTGATGTAAAAGCTCAAGTGGACTGATGTACCATCAATGTGTTCACATAAGGAGAGACCATTCAGGTGCTCTCACTATGAGGTTGGGTTCAGGACGTTATCAACCCTCAGTGTACACCATCGAATTCACACAGGGGAGAAGCTGTTCACCTGTTTTGAGTATGAGAAGAAATTCACTCAGTTATTCAGCTTGACTTAACACCAGCGAGTTCACAAGTAACTACAGTGATTGGATTTTGTTTTCTGTTTGTTCATGAAATCATGGCATCACCAGTTCAGCCAGCCTTTATCATCCATTCTAACTGCCCGGAGGATGTTTAAGAATCAACCACATTGTTATGGGTCTGGATTTATATGTAGGCCAGACCAGATCAGAATTAACAATGTTTCCCAGACCCAATGACAAAAAGAGTTGATTTCTGGTCCCTTATCCTGTTTCTGAAATGATAATGAATGAATTGTTACAGTTGATTTTAAAGTGAAAGGCCAGAATGGGTTTTATTCTGATTGAGCACGTCCTCCTGTTTTCTCAGTTGTTATTGACAATCTCACTCCTCTCTCACCATAACCTGTTCCAGGGAGCATTACAGAAAAGAGGGAATGGTCAGCTGCAGCTGGCAGTTGAATTCTTATTGGACCCTAAATGTTAACTTGATTTCTCTCCACAGATGCTTCCAGGCCTGCCAAATTTTTCCAGCAATTTATGTTTATGTTTCTGATTTCCTGCATTTGCAGTTTTTTTTAGGTTTTTCAATATTCACCTTGTATGTTTCAGAGGAGCCTCACTGATGAGGTTGGTGGGTTTTGGAAGTTAGGCCACAAATCAGCCATGATCTCATTCAATGGCAGAACAGGCAAGAGGGTCTGAATGTCGTACCTCTTTTCCTATGAAAGTTGCCATCTGCAGCTTGTGGCAATATTTCCTCCACAGATCACTTCACAACCATGTCAAACACACTCTATGCTGTTACTGGCTGAACAAGTCTCCTGTGTTTGAACTAAACCTGTTAATGTTCAGTACCCTCTCTCCTACTGCCTGAGTTTGACTTGCATCAGAGAATGTTGTCTCTTGTTACCGTGCGTGAACGGTCACAATGGACTGAAACTGGAGTCTCATTTCCCTGGGATCCACAAAACCCATTTATTTTTCTCTTCCTTTTTCATTCTGACTGTTTTAATTTCTCAGTTTCAGTCTGCTGTCCTTTCAAGCTCTTTAACAAACCCATTTGGTTGGACCAGAGGCAGCTGTACTTTAATGCTTGTAAGCGGGAAGCAGGCAGAAGAATGAGGAGAAGCATCATTAAAAAGCTCCCATCAAACAACAGAGCTTCTTCATGACCCAGCGAGTGGTGAGGGGCCTGAGAGTGTGGGGGAGGCAGTTTCAATCGGGCATTTGTAAAGTCACGCAGTCAGTGATCTGTCTATCTGATTGTTAACTCAGATACACAGACAGAAAGAAAGAACGCATTTAGAAAGTGCCTTTGATGACCTCAGGGCAATGAAAAATGCTTCAGATCCAACGATGTCACCTTGAATCCCTGACAAAACAAGGCCAAAGCTTCCAATTTCTATCATATTATCTCTTAGCCTCCTCTTTCTTGAGAAAAGAGTTTGAGCTGTTCAGCTTTTCCTGGTGATTACTATCTCTGTTCCTGAGAGATTTGTCACTGAATCTTTATTTTCCTGTTCCTTGTGAGAGATGCCAGTAGCAGATACAATTCCTAATCTGCGAGGGATTTTGGTTGGACTATTTGTATTTACAAATTCATTCCCACGCTCAAAAATACTGTGAAGTTGATGTAAAATAGAAAAGGTCTGACGAAGAACCCACAAAAACAAAAAGGCAGCATGTGAAACTGAACTGAATGAACCTGATGATTTGTGGGGCTACCATTCAGAAAATGTGACCATGATCACAACTGGTTACAATGACAGAATCCCTGGAGCGTGGACAGAGGCCATTCGGCCCATTGAGTCTGCGCAGACCCTCTGAAGAGCATCCTTCTGAGACTCACTCCCCCACCCCACCCCATAAACTTGTGTTTACAATGGCTAAGCTGAATCACCTCACCTGCACACTACGGGCCCATTTAGCATGGCCAGTCCACCTAAACCCACACTTCTGTGGGAGGATCACAGACTAGATCCAGGGCACAGATCTAAAAGCTCGAAATTGTGGGTCAAGGCTCAAAAATACTTGCCTCGCAAATTAATGTGCTGTTTTTTCAAAATAAAAGCTGGGGGCATCTGCAGCTACAAACATTTCAGATTGTCTCTGGAGGAAGAGAATTCAAAACTCATGCCACTGACCCCGGGAGCACAGTGATGTCAGACAGACCTGGGCACCATCAGAAATGTAACAGGTTTTGAGCAAAGTAGAGGTGAAACAAGGACAAAAAGACTTTCTGTCACAGGGTAGAAGGCAGGAGAAATTAAACAGCAGAAATGTCAGTCCCTCAAGGCCATGGGAAATGGAGTTGAGGCTGGAAAAGAAACAAGGAAACAAAAGATGTGCCTAGAGCCCAGTGTGCAGCTGACAGAGAAACAAATTGAAATAAGAAGAGAAATGAAAACAAAATAAGGGGCAGAGATCACAGTCTGAAATTGTTGGTCTCACTGGTGAGTGCAGAAACCTGTAAAGCCTGAGACTCTATTTCAGCTAACACAAACATGACAGGCCAAGTGGCCTCGGTCTGTGTTGTAACTTCCTGATATTTTTATTCTGATATTTGGAATTCAATTCTGATGACGTTAATAACCTCTCAAATTGGACTGGAATTTAATAATCTGGAGAAATGTCAAATAAATCAGCTTTTCTTCAAACATGTCACTGCAGATTGTTGTATTTCTCCTCTGAGGGTTTAATATCACCTGGAGCTCAGAAAGGTCAATCTTGAGGGAGGATTGTATGGCAGCAACAGAACTTCAGCCTGGACACGTCGTTCAGGGTCACATTGTGGGGGACAAATGGCAATTTGAT